TTTTTTTTTTTTTTTTTTTTTTTTTACAAATAGGATGGCTAAAAAAAAGAAAAGTAACAAAAAACAGCTCGATTCTAAGGCAAATGTAGAAAACTAAAAACAGGAACATGTCTGCATTGGTCCCTGCCAGGAGTCCAACAGATTCTTAAAGCCACTTAGAGAGGTAAAGGTCGAGAGCTTCAATTGTTTTTGTAAGGTATTCCAGAAAACATGAGCGGAGTAAGAGAAGGCCCTTTTGCCTAGTCCAGTCCTCATTGAGGGAACACTGCAGGTAATAATGTCCTGAGAGCGCACACTGTAGCTGCACTCATGCAGAGACATGTAGGAGGAGATGTATGAAGGCAGCAGACCAAGAAGTGATTTAAAAATGAAATTGTACCAGTGAGAGAGTCTGCGTGAAGTTAATGATGTCCAGTTAACCAGTGAATATAGGGTGCAGTGGTGGGTATGATAATTACAGCCAGTTATGAATCTTAGTGCACCATGATAGACAGCATCCAACATCTGCAGGGTGCTTGTAGGAGTGTTCACGTAAATAATGTCACCGTAATCAATGGAGGGAAAGAAGGTCACAGATACAAGGTGTTTCCTAGCATTCAGAGTTGGACAGGATCTGTTTCTGAAAATGAAACCCAGTTTAACTTTCAGTTTCTTTACCAAGTTTTCCGCATGGAGCTTAAAAGAGAGATGTGAATCGACCAAGATACCCAAATATTTATAGGAATCAACAAACTCAATCGGGACACCATATGTGGATGAAATCAGAGGAAGAACTGCTGGGACCAACTTCCTATTTGAAAAAAGCATCCCTTTAGTTTTGTCGGCATTTAGGACAAGTTTGAGGTGGAACAAATCTGTCTGGATGATGTCAAATGCAGATTTCAAAAGCTGGAAAGCCTTTAAAACTGTTTTAGTTTGACAATAAACAACTGTGTCATCAGCATAGAAATGTATGGATGCATCAGGGATGTTTTTACCTACATTACATACTGTATGTATATTGTAAGGAGGGTGGGTCCTAAGACTGAGCCTTGTGGTACACCATTGTTGACTGTTAAATAACTGGAGGAAGTATCATTATGTTGAACACGTTGCTTCCGGTCTGAGAGATAGTTAGAGAACCAACCAATGATGTGTTCTGAGAAACCGATTTCTGAGAGCTTATGACACAAGATGTTATGATCCACAGTGTCAAAAGCTTTAGACAGGTCTAAGAAAAGTGCAGCACAATAATCATTAGCATCCAGTGCTTCAACGATGCCATTAAGAACCTTCAGTGAAGCAGTTGTTGTACTTTGTTGTTTCCTGAAACCAGATTGATGAGGAGGTAAGATGTCAAATGAGTCCAGGTAATTTTTGATTTGAGAGTTTATCAGTTTTTCTAGAACCTTGGCTAAAACGCAGAGTTTAGAGATTGGTCGATAGTTGTTCAGTTCGGTGGGGTCACCTCCCTTCAGCAAAATAAGAACAACGGTTGTTTTCCAAGCGTCTGGAATGGAGTGTTGGCTTTTGAACAGATTAAAGATGTGAGTCACAAGGACTGTGATGATATGAGCTGCCAGCCTTAAGAAATGAGGTGTAAGTTCATCTGGACCTGTAGATTTTTTAGGATCAAGATCTTTTAACATTTTATTGACCTCACTGACTGAGAATGGAGAAAAAGAGAAGGTGTGATTAACTGAAGATTGACTTGTAGGAGGGATTTGATTTGTAGAAGTTTGGTTATTAGGGGAAGTGGCTGATTTTCCATTAGTAACTGTGTCAAATAAAGAACTAGAAGCAACAAAATGTTTGTTGAAACAGTTCAGGATCTCGTGCTTATTTGACACAGGAACAGAGCTAACGAGAAGTTGTGATGGGAGGTCAGATGATTGGGGGGTGCCTGAGAGAGATTTGATGGTTTTCCAGAATCTGTTGGGGTCATTTAGATTGTTGGAGGTCTGAGATAAGAAATATTTGCGTTTTGCAGCTTTGATGGCAGTTGTGCATTTATTTCTCATCTGTCGAAAACATCAACCAATCGGTGTCTGAGTCATATTTTCTCGCTGTGGCCCAAAGATGATCTCTCCTGTGTAGGAGGTCAGCTAGCTCTGGAGTAAACCAGGGGCTGTCTCGTCCCTTTATTCTGAACTGACAAAAAGGAGCATGTTTGTTCACAAAATAAATGAAACTATTATGAAAATAGTTCCAAGCAGAGTTCACGTCATCAATTAATAGAATACGATGCCAGTCAAAGTGAGACAGATCCCAGAGGAATGACTTCACAAAAACGTTTCAGATCCCTTTTTTGAATTAATCTAGACTTAGAAGGTGGAAGTTTAATATCTCTGAGAGTCGCTGTCACAAAATGATCACTCAAAATGTTAGCGAATACGCCTGTACCAGGGAATTTGTGATGCACATTTGTTAGAAACAGGTCTAAGATGGAGGACTTTTAAGGACGTTTTTTTGTTTGGTCTAGTGGGAGAGTCAATGAGTTGGGTTAGATTGAGAGACAGGCAACATTCCTTGAATTTATCACAGAGGGGGGTCGACTTATCCCAGTCAATGTTGAAATCTCCTGCCAAAAAATCTTTTTGAATTCTAAATTATCAAGGAATTCAAACGGGGAGGACAGTGCCTCCGGTGTTGCTGAAGGGGGACGATAACAACCCACTACAGATAAGATCTGGCCTCCATTCAAAGTGATGTTTACAGCTAAGGCATCAGTTTGGTTTGGAATTGTTTTAGAAGACACAAGACTACCACCAGAGACGCTCTGATGTAAATAACGACTCCACCCCCCCCCCCTTTTTTTTGACGATCACAGCGGTAGATGTTAAATCCATTGATTACCAGGTCATTATTCAGTACAGATTTGTTGAGCCAGGTTTCATAGATGAAGATTACATCTTCCCCAGAAAAACTGACCAGAATTTTCAAGGCATCAAGTTTTCTCAGAAGGCTACGTGCATTTACATGTAGAAAATGAAGTCCTGACATGTTTTTAAAGTCATTTGGTGTCTTATAAATAGTGGGGGGTCCAGGGTTGGGCTGAATCCCTGACAGCAGTAACAACATTATTATCAGACATTTTCTTGAGTTTTTCGTGACTGATGTGTAATTACAGGAGTTAACAGTGTGACAATTAGCCCCCGTAATTGAACCATGAGAAACATTAATGACAACGCAATCATTCAGAACCCAAAAACAGTTAAAGTTGCAGTGATGGGCAGATCCAGGTGTATTAACAAGATTCAGTGACTCCAGATAGTCTGAGATCTGAAAATAATGACAATAATATGAATGGTGCAGAAAAGTCTCAGACCATAAAATGTCACAAATCAAATGGGCAAACAAACCTGACGAGGTGGCCCAACTGCAGTTTGAGTTGGGCTGAGGGGGGCTCCGGCCCCCCTGTGAAGATGGATGGATGCTCCCATAAGAAACAGAAGCTGGGTCCAGAACCAACAGGTAGAAACAGATAATTCAGATAAACAGATAAAACAGATAATTCAAAAGTGCACTCAACTTTACTCAGTCTTGGTGGGTTGCTAATTGAGTGGTGGTGGCCTAGGATGGTATCAAATTCCCGGCCTGGATTATTGTCCCAGTCCGCCCCTGCCCACTAGGATATATATTTTTAAATTTTAATCTTATTATTTTCTAACGAACCGCTACCTCACTAATCAGAAGGAGCAACTTTAAGCGAACGAGGCCATTAAAAGGTCAGAAATAAGTTTCTAGAGCGAGGAGCACCAAAGTGCTGAGAGCTCTCAGGGCTTGCCATAGTTAAAAGCTCGTAATGAACACTGTAGAAGTGAAAGTGTAACAGAACAAAGGTTCATCCAGTTAATTAATACTGAATGAGGCAGACAATTCCTCAGACTCACCTTTATGTCGGGGGGTTTTCACACAGCTATCACAGGTTGATGGGGAGAGTGCGAGGGGATTTAATTTCTCCTTTTCCCCCTCTCCTGTGTTTTGCGTCGTTCAGTCTTCGTGCTGGATCAGACGGTGTGGAGATAACAGAAGCCCAAGGTCAGGGAGGAAGAGACGGAGAGAGACCTACAGCCAATTTACATGAGAGATGAATGGGAAGAGGGGCAGGAAGGGTGGAGGTCGGGGGGCTCGGGACGGGGACTCTGATCTCCTTAGGGTGCACATGTGTGTGTTAATATGTGTGTGTGCGTGGCTGCAAGAGGTCTGTGATCTCCTGGCCTTTGTGATGGAGATGGACCCGGCAGGCCCGGCCCGATAATGACGCGACGCTCTAATAGCATTCATCCCTTCTCCCACAAAACTACTCAAGCGGAAAAGAGAGAGAGGGTGAGAGAGAGAAGGGGGAAAATAAAACAAGTGTGAGGGGTGGATGTTGGTTTGCAGGGGTGTGTACGAAGGTTGGGGGGGGGGGGGGGGGCGGGGAGGGGGGGGGGGGATCTGAGCAATGTTTAGGAAATGACGAGGGCCACAAATCATTTGTAATCTCAAAATCAGGGTTTTTAGAAGGAGGCGGGGGACCTGAGGTGATAGTGTGGTGGTGTGTGCATCTTTTGTGCTTGTGAGCTTCAGAGAATGGCATTAGGTGTGCATGTGCGTGCCGTGCGCATGTGTGTGAGACATTAGCAGTAAATGCACTCTGCCTGTCTCTCCTTTCTCTCTCTTTATCAGTGTATATTTGCTGTGAGCACTGAAGCATGGAAGGCTTTCAGAACCTGGGCCCATAGGGGACGGGACCCTGTGTCCAACACACACACACACATATACACACACACAGTTATCAAACGGGGGTCATTACAGGCCTTTAACTATACCTTGGTAATCACCAGTTTACATCAGCACCCATATTCACCATTTGATCCGGAGCGGTCCACAACAATGAGGAGCATGGGAATGATGGGAGAGGGGAGACAACTGGGGGGGGTGTTAATCCTCTGTTTTTGCATCTTTCAGATTTTTTTGTATTTATTTTAAAAAATCAAGTTTTGGTTTCATAATAAGTAAAATTTTTGTTGTTTCAGACTACAAGTGGCCCTCCTGTGAGTGACCCTTTGAAGGCGAACAAAGCTCGGTCTACTGCCTACTGCTACAACTGCTCCAAGAAAGGACACTTTGGCTTTGTGAGTACTTCATGCTGTCTTCTCTGGCTTCACTGCTCGCAAATATAAATAGAACCCAGTTATTTGTTAATTATTTAAAATTAGATTTGAGCAAAATCGATCAAAAGCTGCATCAAGGGAACTGGAACTGGAAAACTTGCGTCCCGAATGATTACCAGGTTTCTGTTAATTTGGTGAACTGTTAACAAGTCGGTGACTTGGTTGAGTAAATATTTAAAACAAAGTATCACAGAGGGTTTTTGAGGGCTAAAGACGGAGGAAGTTTTCCACTCATGACCTGTGGTTCTTGTCCCGTATCCAACAGGAAGTAAGAAAATGAGTTTGCTTACAAAAGCTGCAGTCTTAGCTTAAAAACATCACTGTGTTTGTTGAAGTAATTAACGTGTCTATAGAAATTATGTAGTCCAAATAAAAATGTCTTCCATCAGTTTTAATATTTAAGAAGTTGGGTTAAACTTGTAAGTTCTCAAATCAGAACCAGCTTATCAAGTGAGAAATGTACAAATAATAGAAATAATAATCATCTAATTTAGGGATGCACAATATTGGATTTTTGGCCGATATCCGATCTGCCGATATGTTAAAACTTATTTGGCCGATAACCAATATTTTATATACTTTCCTTTGTCAGAACATATCCCTCTTAGTTAGGCTTATTTGTTACAAAAATTGTGTAACAGCTGTAAGAGCTGGTGACATACAGTGAGGAAAATAAGTATTTGAACACCCTGCGACTTTGCACGTTCTCCCACTTTGAAATCATGGAGGGGTCTGAATCTTTCATCTCGGGTGCATGTCCACTGTGAGAGGCATAATCTAAAAAAAAAAAATCCGGAAATCACAATGTAAATTTTTTTAAATAATTTGTGTGTTACTGCTGAAAATAAGTATTTGAACACCTTTGAAAATTAATGTTAATATTTGATACAGTATCTTTGTTTGCAGTTACAGAGGTCAAAGGTTTCCTGTAGTGTTTCAGCAGGTTTGCACACACTGCAGCAGAGATTTTGGGCCATTCCTCCACACAGATCTTCTCTAGATCAACCAGGTTTCTGGGCTGTCACTGAGAAACAGAGTTTGAGCTCCCTCCAAATATTTTCTATAGGGTTTAGGCCTGGAGACTGGCTAGGCCACTCCAGAACCTTGATATGCTTCTTACAGAGCCACTCCTTGGTTCTCCTGGCTGTGTGCTTTGGGTCATTGTCATGTTGGAAGACCCAGCCATGACCCATCTTCAATGCTCTGAGGGAAGGAGGTTGTTCCCCAAAATCTCTCACTACATGACCCCGGTCATCTTCTCCTTAATACAGTGCAGTCGTCCTGTCTTTTGTGCAGAAAAACACCCCCAAAGCATGATGCTTCCACCCCCATGCTTCACAGTAGGGATGGTGTTTTTGGGATGGTACTCATCATTCTTCGTCCTCCAAACACGGCGAGTAGAATTAAGACCAAAAAGTTCTATTTTGGTCTCATCTGACCACATAACTTTCTCCCATGACTCCTCTGGATCATCCAAATGGTCATAGGCAAACTTAAGACGGGCCTGGACGTGTGCTGATTTAAGCAGAGGAACCTTCCGTGCCATGCATGATTTTAAACTATGACGTCTTAGTGTATAGTAACCTTGGAACCAGTGGTGCCAGCTCTCTTCAGGTCATTGACCAGCTCCTCCCGTGTAGTTCTGGACTGATTCCTCACCTTTCTTAGGATCATTGATACGCCACAAGGTGAGATCTTGCATGGAGCCCCAGTCAGAGGGTGATTGACAGTCATGTTTAGCTTCTTCCATTTTCTAATAGTTGCTCCAACAGTTGATCTTTTTTCACCAAGCTGCTTGGAAATTGCCCTGTAGCCCTTTCCAGCCTTGTGGAGGTCTACAATTTTGTCTCTGGTGTCTTTGGACAGCTCTTTGGTCTAAGCCATGTTAGTAGTTGGAGTCTTACTGATTGTGTGGGGTGGACAGGTGTCTTTATGCAGCTAACAACCTCAAACAGGTGCTTCTAATTTAGAATAATCAGTGGAGTGGAGGTGGACGTTATAGAGGAGGACTAACAGGTCTTTGAGGGCCAGAACTGATTGGCAGGTGTTCAAATACTTATTTGCAGCAGTAACACACAAATGAATTATTAAAAAATCATACATTGTGATTTCCGGATTTTTCTTTTAGATTATGTCTCTCACAGTGGACATGCACCTAAGATAAAAAATTCAGACCCCTCCATGATTTCTACGTGGGAGAACTTGCAAAGTCGCAGGGTGTTCAAATACTTATTTTCCTCACTGTATATTCAGTAACAGCCATATGATATGCAGAGCACTTTAACTTATATTAAATGAAAAGTGTTAAATGTTATTTATTAGCATTAGTCACCTGTGATGCTGTCTCACCTGTGGAGGCTTGTTCCACGATCCTAGCTGCAGTGTGGGATCCTCTGCACTCCTGTGCATGAAGGACAGACTTTTTAAGTTCAAAGTTTTTGTCTATCCATTGTGCCGTAAGACTAATCATGCTCACGAAGCTAACACGACGTCCAAATGTCTGTGGTAAAACTCACCCAAGTGCTATCGGCTATTAGCTTCTCAATGACGTCGGAAATGACGGCTTGTAACTCGGGTAAGGTTATGTTGGAAAAATATCTCTGACTGAGGACGATGTAGCGAGGCTGCCGCTGCAGACATCCTCGTCACTGGGTCGTCATACAAAAACAGCACCTTTTATATCGGTGAGCTATTTTGATGGAATGGCCGATGTCTGATATTTAACTTTAATACTAATATCGGCCGATACCATGCCGATAATGTTGTGCATCCTTAAACTAATTTAATGGTCAAATATTTGTCTGAACTGAAACAAGAATCCTGCACGTCTCCTTTGAGTCATATTAAAGCTCTTTTACACCTTTAGCTGTTTTTGGACCTCTCAACTCAAAACGCACTTCAACTGAACAAGTCTCCAGTTTTATGTTGATGCTGGAACTATAAAGCCTGTCTTCTTTTAAGAGCTTCCTACACTTCCTGTCACTTTTTTTAGAAGTACAAGTATTACAAATGGCACACTTGGAGTCTTCTGCACCAGTACAAACAACCACATCAAAGACTAGGTGTTGCTGGTGCGAGGTAAAGGCTGTGCAGTTATTTTATTTTTTGTAGGATTTGCTGTTTCGTCAGATTCTTGTTACCCATACAATTCAGTTTAATTCAGTTTTATTACAGTTCAGATATACAAAGTGCCAGTTAACATCAAGCTGTCTCAGGGCACTTTACAAAGAGATTCTAAATCTAACTAGAGAAATCGCATTCCCTGCGAAAATGAAGTGTGAAAGCTTATTGCAGAAGAAATCGCTGAAAAACATGCTTAAATGTAGCTGAAGTACAAGAATAAGCCTAAGTTAGAAAAAAAAGACAGAAAGAACACATATTTGCTGAATTGGGTTTAAATAAGCACAAAAATTTAGGAGTTTGCTTAAAAAGCTGAAATTTGCAGAAAAATTGCTAAAAAGTAGCTGAAAAGAAGGAAAGAAGCATAAACTTCCAGAAGGAAGTGGAAGGAGCTGAAATAAGCTCCAAAATGTGGAATTAGTACAAAAAGCTAAATAGTAGCTGAACTAGCAGAAAAAGCTGAAACTAGCAAAAAAATGCAGAAAGAACCATACCAAGCTAAAATTATCAGAAAGAATTTAATTAGGCTGAAAGAAGCAGAAATTACTAGAAGAAATGTGAATTTATCTGAAAACAGCTGAAATTAGTTAAAAATGCTATATATAAAAAAAGCTAGCTGAAAAGGTAGACCAAGCATAAATTAACAGAAGTAAGTAGAAAGAACATGTTTGCCCAGTTAGGCTGAAAGAATCAGAAATGAGCGCAAAAAAGTGGAAACTATCTGAAAAAGCTAAAATTAGCACACGCACACAAAAAAATCAACAGCTGAAAAGTAGCTAAAAATGCTGAAGGAAGTAGAAAGAGCACATTTTTGCTGAATTAGACAAAGTTTAAGAGTGCAAACAATATGGAATTAGCTGAAAAAGCTAAAAATTTATATAAAAACAGCTAAATAGTAGCAGAAATACCATTAAAAGCTGAAACTTGCATAAATAAGCTGAAAGGAGCATAACAAGCTAAAATTAGCAGAAAGAAGTTAGAAGAAGCACAAAAATGTTGTTAGCAGAATGAATCTGAAAGGAGCACAAAACAGCTGAAATTAGCTGAATTTTTTTAAATTTGCAGAAGGAAGCTGAAAGAAGCTGAAGCAGAACAAAAAGTGAAAGGAGCAGTAAAAGACTGTAAACAGATGAAAAGATATGAAGGATGTAAAATGAGCTCAATTCATTTTCTATGAGAAAAAAAATGGCAGAAAAGGCTAAATATTTCAAAAAACTAAAGTTACACCAATACCAAAAGTCATAGCAGGATTGTCCTGAAAGAGCTGAATGTTTAGATTTATGCTTTGAAATAGCTTGAAAATGGCAGGATGAGAATTGCGCTGAAAAAAACGTACAGAAGAAAAATGGATCAGAATAGTGTGAGAATGCTTATAAGCATTCACACAATTAAATTATAAACAGTTAATTTGATGAAATTATATAATACAGTCAGAATTGAGTTATGTGACAAAAAGTAATTTAGTGAACGTTACTTAAGGACACCACAGGTGACAGTGGGAAGGAATGACTTGCTTTAACAGGAAGAAATCTCCAGCAGAATCTGAATGAGCACGAGCGTGGACCAGTAATTCCCAAACTTTGTTCAGATGTGTACCCCTTGAGACATCTGCCCTCTAGCCAAGTCTTCTCCCTTTAAAATGTGTTAGTAAACACTGCACGTATCAAATACAATTTTAAACGATTGTTAATTTTTTCACACCAAATGATAGTCATTAATAAATGTCAGCATTAATAACCAACACGTTTAATTCAATTCAGTTCAGTTCATTTATATAGTGTCAAATCACAACAACGTTGTCTCAGGGCACTTTCTGGGCTGTCACTGACAAACACAGATTTTCTATAGGGTTTAGGTCTGGAGACTGGCTAGGCCACTCCAGAACCTTGATATGCTTCTTACAGAGCCACTCCTTGGTTCTCCGGGCTGTGTGCTTCGGGTCATTGTCATGTTGGAAGACCCAGCCACGACCCATCTTCAATGCTCTAACTGAGGCGAGTGGAATTAAGACCAAAAAGTTCTATTTTGGTCTCATCTGACCACATAACTTTCTCCCATGACTCCTCTGGATCATCCAAATGGTCATGGGCAAACTTCAGATGGGCCTGGACGTGTGCTGATTTAAGCAGGGGGACCTTCCGTGCCATGTATGATTTTAAACTAAGACGTCTTAGTGTATTACCCACAGTAACCTTGGAACCAGTGGTGCCAGCTCTCTTCAGGTCATTGACCAGCTCCTCCCGTGTAGTTCTGGGCTGATTCCTCAGCTTTCTTAGGATCATTGATACACCACGAGGTGAGATCCAGAGCAGGAACATGTTTGTGATAAGAGCCTCTAAGAGTCAAAGCTTTGATGGTTCCCCAAACAAACACGAGGACTTCAGCTCGATTAAAAGGACAAAACTGACTGAAATTAGGAAAGACAACCAGGAAAGACTGAATGTAGCTGTTAGAAATTAATTCTAAAGGGTTTACAAATCAGTTTCTATTAGTGTACTAACATTTAACACGGTGTGAAGTTATTCACTAAAAGTATTAGAACATTTGCCATTGTACGTGCTTCATTCTGACACAGTCTCTTTGATTTTTGCTCAGATTTAATTCTAATTTATTCTGCAAACACACCCGTCTTCCCTAGTTTCTGTCATTGTTTAAAGTTGTGCTATTTTGGTTATTGCTCTGCATTATTTGCATTTGTGCACGTTTCTTCAGGAGTGTGTACATAAGAGGATGTTTAGTGGGGTTTATCCAAGCAGCTCGCTCATCAGTCACTACGACACCGTGGCGGACATTAAACGCAGACGACACCGGGCACAAATGAAGGTTAATGGTAAGTCACGCAGTCGCAACGTTTTAAAAAGTACAGATTTTAAAGTTTTAAATTTTTGTTACCGGCATCTGGCTTAACTAAGAAGAACCATGCCTTTAAGTTAGGGCTGAACAATTAATTGCATTTGCGATATCGCAATATGATAAAACGAGATGTTCTAATCACAGAGGCTGTGATTTGACTGCTCAAGTGATCTGGTTATGTCACTTGCAAGTGAGCGGAGCAAAGCAGACCAGGGAGCAGGAGAAGTCAACATTGCACTTTAACCAGTTGCACAATGGCGTCAGGCTCGACAGAAACTGACACATCTGAAAGTTTGGTACCAAAGAGGGGCAGCACGTCCGTTGTTTGGAATTATTTTGGCTATAAAAAAAAAAGACGCTGCACAACGACATGTATTGTGCAGAACCTGCCTTGCTGCTGTTGCTACCTCTCGAGGTAAAACCACAAATCTTTATCAACACTTAAAAAAAACACCACAAAGCCATTTACGATAGTTGCATGGCTAGAATGCCAACGACCAGTGCTTCAACGTCAAGTAAGCAAAGTACCAGTCGACAGGGATCACTGACCGAACCGTTCGAAGGTATTACTCCGTATGAACATAATTCAAAACGGCACACGGAAATAACTCGAGCAATAACAGAGTTCATAGCTAACGACATGACGCTAACGACATGACGCCCATTAATATTGTGACCAAGCCTGGGTTTACAGCTTTGGTAAACAAAGTGGATAAGCCGTACAGAATGCCATCGCGCACATATTTGAGCCAAGTTATTATCTTGGAGCAACACAAAAAACATGCAGAAACCGAGTTGCAGCGGAGCTGAACACAGTGGAGGTTTTTGCAACTGAAACAGATTTATTGCTTGTGTTCTTTGAAAAATACATGAGAAGACATTGAAAAATAATCGCATATTAAATCTCAACATTGAGATAAAAACTAGTAATTAGAATATTTTCCTAAATTGTTCAGCCCTACTTTAAATCAGTACACTGACTTCTTCAATCAGTTGCATTTTTTTGTAGAAAAATACTTTATTTTCCATCAGAATGTGACTTCTACACATAACAGATTAACTTCTTTATTATTTTTTTGTCAGAGTCAGAGATTCTTTATTGTCGTTCGCACCACATGTGGTACATGTGTTGGAATGAAATTATGTACACAGGGTCCCAGTTACCTCCGCCGTACACGTCGCACCACCGTATAAGTCGCATCAGTTCAGAAATGTCCTATAAAGAGGATGTTAGAATGACCCTTTAGTGGCTGGATTAAGCAGGAGGCTTGAGGCAGAGAAAAGGTGCAGACCCACTGGGTGTTTATTCACCAACATTGAACAGAGGACCCTGCTTCACAGGTCGCCTAGTGTCTCAGCAGTAGTCCTTAAATGATGCTAACAGGCAGCCTTTTATAGTTTACTACCCCCTCTCATTAACAGACCTACCATGAAGCAGGGTAAACAAAATACATATAAACATTAACAAACTTCTACAAAAGATAACTGAAACATCAAAATACTTTATTTAACAAACATTATCAATCATTCAACACATCTCTTAAAACGTTGGTTATGTATTGTAACCCCAGATTCTATGAGTGTAAGCGTAGCCCTTTAAAAGCTGTCGCTATTGGGTTTAAAGGGCGGAGCAGGATATGGTACATGCACTGGGTCTGTCCGAGAACCATAAAAAACACCATGATATCCGCCTAAAACCTCATTCTTTATTCAAGCATAATTACACACCATTGATCCATATACCTGGTGCGTACTGGATTACAGGCGTGCAGCCTCTGTGCTTGATCTTAACTGAAGGAATGCTTATTCATATCAGACAATAGAGAAATAAGAAAAGGAAAAATTTCCAACGAGGAAGAAGGAATTTTCCTGTTTGAACGAGTAATCGTAGAAAATGCCCACTAATAATGACAGAGCAGGGCTGTGCTGTTTTATTACTTGTTGTTTTTATCTTATTTTATTTTATTTTTTGTTGTGTGATTGTAAAAAATTCCTCTGACAACTCTGAGAACTGAATGTGTCAACGAAGAGCTGGAGACATCTCGTAAATAAAAGCTGATGAAGGGGGTCGGTGATGACCATGAAGCTGCAGAGCAGATGTCCTGCACAGACACTAGAGGATGACACAGGAGTGGATTTTCACTCCTGTCCTGTCCTGGTCCCACAGAAAAAATCCTGTCCTGTCCCACTCCTGGTAACATGACTCCTGCTCCTGTCCTCCTCCTGTTTTTTAATCTTCATTTAATTTTTAGGAAATACATTGAATTTGATTTAATCTTCTACCCATTCCTGTTTAAATTACTTTGTGTTCTGTAGTTTTATTTCAAAAGATATGGCAACAGGAACCATACCATACCATTTTATTTATAGAGCACTTAAAACAGTGACAAGGCTAACCAAAGTGCTGTACAGACAGAAAAACAGGCAACACACAAAGCAATATACAAAATGAAGTAAATCAGAATATAGACATAACAGTCTATACAGTTCATCTGTGGTGAAATAGAGACATTTCCTTAATCCAAACACAAACCTTCACTAAATGTCATAAAACAAATATACATGGTCTGTAGTCCCTATAATTTTTCTACAGAGGATCATCTGCTGAGTCTATGTTTCTAGCTCTTTTGAAGGTCAGTTACAGTAAAACAAAAAATCAAAACCACTCCATGGGTCACACCTAGTCTACCTTAGATGAAAGAACCCAAACATAACAAGTTGCATTTTACTAATTTATTGAGCAATTGTTTCCTTTAAACAGTGACATTACTGTCATGTTTTAAATTGTTTAAACAAACAAAAACAAAAAAAAAAGAAAAATAATGTACCAAGCAAGAGAACAAATAAAAATGTTTAAAGGCATTATTATACACTGGACGACGTTCTCAAGAAGTTCCGTCTATGTGGTCGAGGTAACGAGCTCGTTTGGGTGAAGCATGATGTCGTGCATCTTACCAGACTTCAGAGCATCATTTACAGACTGGACCATTGCAGGTCTGGTGTTCCACCTCATCTCTCCACAGCTGGACCAGTCCAGAGCTTTGTGCAACCTAAAATTGAAAGAAGACAGTGCACAAGTCAAAATAGGGTTACCATGACTACAAATTACAATTTGTTGGCCTTTCTTTTGGATTTTTTTTAAATCAAAAACAAGATTTACAATTGAAATTAAGTAAAAAAAAATATGACATTTGCAAATATAAATTACAGTAGCTCAATTTTTCTTTATTTCATTTATCATATTTTATAATTGCTTAAACAGCCTCACCAGGCAGAGATTACAAGATTTTATGTATCTTACCTGCTCTTTTGAAATGTGTGACAAGGGTCTTTGTGTCCAAAGCTGTTTAACAGCTTGCTTCCAGAGCTAACAGCTTCCTGTGTTAGGTAGAAAAATCAAATTAAATTAAAGACAAACATGAAACAGTGCTACTTCTTGTTGTGCCATGCTTCAGTGTTTCCCCTACCATTATACAAGCGGGGTGCCCCACCCCGTCAACCGAATTGAGCACCCCGCCTACCAAACCAACTTGCCCCACCCCCACCTGCCCACCCGGCACTGACATAGCACTAAGCTAGCAGCGAGAAATACAGGTTCTTTAGCTAAAAAGCTAAAGGAAGCACTCATGTTGCCTCTTCCCTCATGCTAAACGCCCCCACTCAAAAACTGTTAGTACAAGCTGCGCTCAGACAAGTGTCTGTCCCCCCCATCAACAAAAATCATGGATGAGATGAGCACCCCGCCATGGCAAGTTAACTAGGGGAAACACTGTGCTTTCTAAAACAGTTATTGAATCAAGTATTTACTTATGTAGGTAAACATAGATGTTTTAAAACCTGTTAAAATACACCAGAATGCAGGAAATAGCAGCTGCTTTATTCAAAAGGTTATGGGGGAGGACCCACAGACCTCACACCAATATGTCCGCCTACAATAATTCTAATGCTAATACACACTGTGTGGTTCAAGCCAAGAGCCATTGTCAACACTGGGGGGGGCTAAGGCCCCTAAAAAGGGCTTCTAGAATCACCTCTGGTGTGAAAAAATGAACTGAGAAAAATCAACTCTAAAATTTAACACAACAACATACACATCATATCTTAAATCTAAAACTAAAACAGTTATTATAATGTATATGCAACCAGTCTTTCATACAAAACTGGGATATTTTTACTGGAGAATGCTTTCACTCAAACAAGTTTGTTGTTGTACTGGCATGGCTTGCGGTCGACAGTAACTATTTACACAATAAAGTGATGGTTATTCACGTTTTCCTCGATTTCAGTATCCAGCAGGACGTCACAATATAAACATAGGGATATTTTTTACTGGAAAATGCATGCACTTTAACCAGGTAGAGTTCGGTTGTTGTTTTTACATTACAAACAGTGACAGATAATGAAGATTTTAACCTAAAAACCCACATAAAAAAGCAGAGCATAATTTTTTAATTAAAAGGGACATGGTGGAGAAAAATGCGCTGTTTGAGTGTGTTTATTTACTGACGGTAAACAAAGTCCGACTCCCCGTAGCTCCTCACTGCAGCTGAGACTAAAGTTTAAATCAGCACAGCACCAACACAACTCTCATGAAGTTCAGGGTTATTTGACACTTTCCTGCCCTTTCTGTGAATTTAATAGACAGACAGATACTTCTTACCTTGCATTGCAAACTATTTCAGCCATTCGGTTTCTTTGGAGACTTCGCTGTTCCTCCCACCCTCTCGGTGAAAAGCTACAGTGTTTTGACTTCTGGGAAATGTAGTTCTTTTGACTTGTGTTAAAGTGAAGGCTTACTGAAAGAAAACTACAAAATAGCTGCACCGTTTTTTGGGTTTTTTTTGTTTCATTTTCATTTTTGATTAATGGTCGGTTCCCGCTCCTGTCTGCTCCCGTTAGTTTTCAGTCCAGTCACGTCCCGGTCACGTGAGTTATAATGAGGTTGACTCTGGTCCCGCCGGAATCCGTCCGGAATCACGTGACCCGCGGTACTCCCGAAAAAATGTCATCCTCTAACAGACACCCCTCTGTGCAGAGCTGTGTAGGTAGAAATCCCTCTGGTGGAATGAGCCCTGAGTCCTTCAGGCAGATGAAGGCTAGAAGAACTATAGGCTTGTGATATAGTTTCACATAACCAAAGTGACAGACGCTGGGAAGATAAAGGCTGACCCTGTGATCGTTCCCTGAAATGTACAAACAATTGATCGGATTTACGCATTGCAGCTGTACGTGTCACATAACACCGGAGTGCGCGTACTGGACAGAGCAGGTGAAATTGTTCCTCCTCTGTAGTTTTATGGGGAGGGGGACAGAACCCATCCAGCATAATGACTCTGGACTTGAACGAACTTGTTATGCTTTTGGGTATAAAAGCAGGATTTGGTCGGAGTTCTGCTGAGCTCCCATCTCCTTGAATTCTGAGACAAGAAGAAGTGACGGACAGACCTGACATGTCGTTCACTCTTCTAACTGATGTCAGAGCTAATAATAAGGCTGTTTTGAGCGACAGATACTTCAAAGGTATCTGGTCCAGGGGCTCAAACTGATTTTTAGTTAGTGCACTGAGAACGAAGACTAAATCCCACTGTGGTGCCAGGGCGCGTCACTGGCCTGAGCCGGCATGCACCTTTCAGAAACTGTTTTGTTAAAGGGTGATTGAAAACTGTTCTATTGTTGAAACCTTCATGACAGGAGGAGATTACTGTAGCGTATGGTTTAATTGTGCTGAAAGCTAAATTTCTGTCCAACAGTAGCTGCAGGTAGAACAAAATGCAGCCCAGGGGACATGAAGTCAGGTCCACCTCCTTTCCTAGGCACCATCGCTGAAAAGCAGCCTGTTTAGAAACATAAATGGCCGTAGTGGATTTTGCACATGCCCCCTGGATGGTACATATTAACCACGAGGCATTCGTGCATTGTGGGGCGATCAGAATCATTTTCAGATTCTCCTCTCTCACCCTGTCCAACAGTGCTGTTATCAGGGGAACAGGAGGGAAGGCATAAATCAGCATCTTTGGCCACGGTTTGTGTGCAAACGTGTTATCCCCCTGTGGCGGAGCATCCCGTGGATTTAGGGAGAAGAACAGGACGCACTGAGTTCTCCCGAGTGGCCATCAGGTCCACTTCCGCTCGCCCGAACCTGCTCCAGATTTGCGAGATTAGATATGGATGAAGAGACCAATCCCTGTCCAGAGAGCCTCCTCTCGACATAATATCTGCTCCTCTGTTTAGAACGCCTGGGATGTAAACTGCTCTGATCGAACGCAAGTGTGTGCGTGCCCAGCAGAGCAGTTTCCAGGCTGCATTCAGTAGCTGAGCTGAACGCATAACCCCATGGCGATTAATGTACGCCGCTACGATTCTGTTGTCTGTGTGGATCATCACGCGATTACCCTGAATCAGTGGGGCAAAATGTCTGAGTACTTTTTTTACTGTGAGAAGTTCTAAAACGTTTATGTGAAAAGATGTGCCGGACGGCCACACACCTATCGTTTGTGACAGGCAGGTCCCTCCCCACCTGGAGAGGGATGCGTCTGTGAACACTGACGTGACTGACATCACCTTGCCCAGGGGAACTGCCTGACAGGTTCAGGGGATTCCCCCTGTAGCTCAGATTCGCTCCCACAGATGGAGGAACAGTGATCAGGCGCCATTTGTGACGTACAGGGTCAACTTTCAGTCGAATCAACCATCTTTGCAGGTGGCGCATAAACAAAAACCCCAGCGGCACCACATCGTGAGCGGCTGACATCGTGAGCGGCTGACATCATTCCTAGCGGTCTCATGACTGTCAGCGCTGTTACTGTTCTGAGAGGCTGGACAAACTGAAGCAATGACGTCAGGGATTCCCTCCTGTCCTGACAGCCGCTACTCCGGTCCGAGAAATGCAAATGGCGGATCGATGTTTTGAAAAGTTTCTGAAAGATCCAGTGACTCCTCCCCCTGACCAATCAGTGACCGACAGTGCGCTGATGTCACATCTTGACCCAACAAGAACCAGACCTGGGACCCCAGAGAAGTAGGTCCCAAAAATTGTGCGGGTTCCACCGCTGAAGGCACTGTGGAGACACTACGCAATCGGCCCGAACTTGTTACATAGGAGCACCAAAAGGCCCTATGGATAAGGGGCTTTAGTGTTTTTAAACAACATTAAGGTGACTGAGGGTTGAGGGTATAGCGCTAAACACCATTGAGAATTCTTGGAGACTAACGGGGAAATTACATAGTGAGCAGAATTCATTGTAGGTGAGTAGTTGCCTGTCCTTATTAACCAGCTGAGCCACCATTAGGATCCCATTTTGAACCCAAGTCTCAAGGAAGAGTGACCTGTTTTTAAATAAAATGTCTCTGTTGTTCCAGATAAGGTATTTGTGTGGTGAGAAGTTGTGTTTATAAATGAGGGTCCAAGCTAAAAGTACCTGCTTATGGTAGGATGAAAGTTTTACAGGAAGTTTCTCAACATTGTAATTACAATTTAAAATTAAATTAAAGCTGCCAAAGCGCAAGAAAACATGATATGGTATATTCCTTGTACAGCACTATTGGAGATATGAGTTGTAAGAATTTGTGAACAAAGTAAGAATAAGTATGGTGAAATGGGACATCCTTGACGAATACCACGTTTTAAGTTAAATCTAGGGGTGGAGCCATTTGGTATTTTAATAGAACTGTTGCTATTCAATTCAATAAAAATAAAAAATACTTTATTAATCCCAGAGGGAAATTATATGTTGTGGTAACTCATCATCCTGGTTTCATTAATGAGTTGTTATAGATGCTGATGGCTGTGTAGTGTGTGTGCTGATGGCTTGGAGTACAAGGTTTCGACAGCTTTACAAATTTTTTTCCTAAACTAAATTTTTTCAAAGAATGAAAAATAAATTGATGTTCAATTGTGTCAAAGGCCTTATAAAAATCCGGGAAGAGATTATAACTATCATCAGGTACCAAATATGAGTAATCAAGTAGGTCTAACACTAGTCTGATGTTGTTAGAGATGTGTCTGTTTCTCATAAAGCCTGACTGTGTCTCATCAATAATTGTATCTCAAACCTCTTTAATTCTGTTAGCAAGTATCAAAGCCATAATCTTATAATCATTATTGAATAGACAAATAGGTCTCCAATTATCAATAAAAAGTAAGTGTTAGTTTGGTTTCAGAATGAGTGTTATAAAACCTTGAGTGAGAGTAGGAGGGAGAGTGTTATTCTTTATACTTTCTAGGAATACCTGTAAGAGAAATGGAGCTATATGATCAGCGAATGATTGATAAAACTCTGCAGATAAACCGTCTGTGCCGGAGATTTGTTGGCCTTAAGTGCAGTAATGCATTTAGAGATTTCCTCCACTGTAAAAGGGCTGTCGCAATAGTCTCTTATCATCCACGTCGATAGTTTTTAACTTTCGAATATTGTTGAGAAATGATACTGAAATATCTTCCTTATATTTTGAGCTGTATAAATTAAAATAAAATTTGGCTCAAAAATTAGAAATTTGTTTAGGATTGTTGGAGTTAGTGTCATTAATATTTAGTTGATAGTTTGTTTTTGATCTGTGTTTTTGCAGAATTTTCTCTCCCTCCTCTAGCCATCGTTTCCTGGATCTAATAAAAGGCGCCTTCAGCCTTTTGTTGATATAAGTTGTCCAGTTTGTTTTGAAGTTTCATTAACTTTAACTGATCTTCCTCAAAGATTTATTCTGGTGATTTCTGGTAATAAGAGGTAATTTTGCTCATTACTTCTTCCTCTTCAGCTTTCTTCAGTTTAGAGATTCGACTCCCATATTGTCTTAAGAATTTGCAAGTTTCGAATTTGAAAAGTTCCCAATTGCAGCAAAAGGACCTCTTTGTTAGCCTTATTCCAATAATATAAAATTCATTTATTTATATGAATTTTAACTGTTTCATACTTTAGCAAGGAATTGTTTAATTTCCAATAAGAACATTTGTAAGGTATATTATCAGAAGCACAAATTTGGATACTTATGTGAATAGCTCAATGATCTGTAAGAGGGGTGGCATGATCCCTCTGGGTTTGGTGCTTCCTTGTCGCTTGGCTCCAAGTCGTGCACGGTATCGATGGCGTCAGGTAGCTTGTGTTTTTGTTCTGGCAGAACTGATTGGCATATTTCTATCACTTTTCTTTGTATGTCTTCTTTCTCTGTCTCCTCGGCTCCATGTATTCTGAGATTCCACCTCCTGGAGTATCTTTCTAACTCGGCTCTGCTGGCAGTTGTCCGCCCGACCTTCCTCTCTTGTTGCTTTTTTTTCTAGCTCATGCACTTTTCCTTTAACATCCTTCATTTCAGCGCATATATAAAGTCAATAGTGTTTTTGAGGCCCTCAATCTTGAGTGTATTCTCTTTTTTTTTCCTCCCTTGTCCTGTCCGGCATTGTGACACTTAAGGCTCCAGTTTACTGCCGCGTACGTCCGTTCACACGTACGTTTGCGTGTACTGTACGCAGAGGGTTCAGACATGATACTCCAGCATACACCCGAGCAGCTGCAGAGCAGCTTCACAGACAAGGGGCGTTTACCTTGAGGACAAATTAAGGTCGCCGATTTGTCATTTACTGACACGCCTACTGGATTGATTGACTGGTCCGAAAAAATAAAAAAAAAGGGAGCGCTGGCAGCCTCAGCCGCAGCAATGTTCTGTGTTTATATGTTGTTAATAAAAAGATCTAAAAAAACAAAAAAAAAAACAGGGAGAGTTGGCTCTACAGCCCACACATCTGAACCAGCCCCCCAGGAAATCTCCAGCCCCTCCCGCAGCCACGCTGGACCTGAGTTTAATTCACTTGTGACAAATTCCTTCATTTCTCACCATTTCAGTCACGGCATCAACGGAGGAGGAAGAGATCACTGCCTCTTGGCAAAGAAACAAAAGAAAATGTCAGATCAGGGATGAAGAAGGGGAATTTAATACATTGGTGTCACATGCAAAACAGTCTGTCGCCGGGGAGTTTATTGTGCGACACCGTGTACACGTATGCGGTCGTAAAAATTTGAGCTTTGCACGGAGGGTACGCTGGGGGGTACGCACGTACCTCTGCGTACGTACGTGCGTACCTCTGCGTATGGATGTACGCGGCAGTATACTGGGGGCTTTAAAATTATTGTCTGAGTGTCAAGGTGATGCCCAACTGATTTACTTTCACAAGCAGCGCATTATGGCTGGCCTTAATGCTCCACTTGATATATAAATTAAATTTTATTAGAATATGCTTTGGGTTTGTTCCAGATGTAATGGACATGGGGATGAAAAACAAAGAAGAAAACAAAGCAGAAAAGTGAGAGAAGGGTTAAAAGGTAAAGAAGGAGATAGGAATAGAGGAGAGAGAGGGATAAAGAGAACACAAATCAACATCATTGAAGTCTGCCGACAAGACAAAACTGAGAAACCACAACAACAAACAACTTATATAATGACACTTATAACATCATTAGAAAGAATTTTATACAGTACATGGTAATACAAGATATATTTAGTGGCCACCACAACCCAACTGAGTGTATTCTCTTTCACCATGCCCTCGAGGTTATCAGATATCAGATCTGATGTTTATTAATGCAGACAGACTGGATATTATTTCGTTTGCAGTTGACGTATCAAGGTTGCTCCGTTCATACATCACCTTCGGAGCTGGCGATTTCAGAGGTGTAACGGGTAGAGGTGGAAATTCATCCATTTCCTCTTCATTCAATGAGAGTGTTTTCTCAGTGGCAGCGTAGTTGTGGCAGCTATCTAACAACACGTTGCCGGATGTAGCATTAGCTTCATTAGCATCCTCTGACGTTCGCTTGGATTTGGACATTCCAGTCCTCTTTTCACTCCCTTCTGGTTCAGCATTCCCTGTAACTTTCTCTGGGACTGTTGTCTGTTATCTTTTAAAGAACTGTTAGTGCCAGTGATCATATAATCAAGTTTTTACCGTGTTTCATCAGTTTTTTTGTGCTGAGCTCGGTAGAGAGCGTCTACTCACTCCGCCATCTTGGCCGTCCCCCTCCCCCCAATACAATGTCTGCTTGCCTGGACCTTTTCTATAGATTGCTGTATAATAGTTTGTTGACGAGAGTGCCGTGTCCGTTACTCTTGTCTTTTGTTGTATAAATGAGCCATTAAATCATTTTGTGTTTTTTTT